ATCAAATGGTGCTGATCACATTCCTAAAGGATGTGGAAATGATCTGTACTGTAAGTCCTATAAAAAAGAGCAATCACAAAAAAAGAATGTCAGCTTTTCTCATAACACATCTGCTCAGAGACTCAGCAGTCCAATGTGTTAGGAAAAACCATTCAAAAGGGATGAAATATAAATGAAATACAAGAAAATAAATATAAGTGATGAAATGTAAGAGAAAATATTTTCATAATAACAAACAAATAAGAATAAATGTGGATATTTTACACACGAACAACTTTCCTCCTCTGCCAATAGGTAACTGAATTATTATTACAGTACATTTGGGAAACAGAAATATTTGTATGTAAACACAGCCATGCTCGTATATAGAAAAAAAGGTGTATTAGGGAACTGTGCTTTAGCACCAGCAGGCTCATAAACTAAAGCAGTTTCCTTAACATGGTCACTGCATTACCCTGGCAACTTCTTTCCAGTGTCATTATCAGGACATGTAATACATGAAGAATAAAGGGAGAATGCAGGTTCCACTGCCTGCCATCAGAGTATCTGAGTGTTACACCAATATTTATGCAATAAAGATAGGATCAGTAAAGCTCATGGCTACAGACCACAATAATTTCTGTTATTTAGTAAAGGTACCTTCAGTATTAAATCCATTTTCTCTATCAACCCTCGTAACATTATGGTGTATACTTAGTAAGTCCTCTAGTTTTTCTGGATTTGCATATTGTTTGAAAAACGTGTTATGATTCTTCCAGGCAAAATATTCTCAGATATTGAACACTGCTTTAAAATTCAGCTGTGAATATTATTAGTGGTAGTTTAAACAGAAATCTTGTTTGAACCTGCATGCATTTCTGTAGGAGGAATATTGGAGAACTGAATCCTTGGCTCTTGATCTGCTTTTTAGACTAGGTCTAGACCCAGAAAGAAAAAACAAACTCTCACAAGAGTGGTCTGGCTGTGATATTTTGAACCTATCTACAAAAAAGCCCTAAAACCAGTGGACCATATGCAGTGTCTAATTGATTAATCCTACTCTTTGGATACTTCTGTTATTTCTAGTAAAAAAGAACCATTAAAAAAATTGGTTTCTGAGGTTTTGTTTATTGACTGTGAGCCCTGGCCTGACCTCAGCCTTGAATTTAAATCCCCAGTAGAAATCTGAAATTAATCCACCTCTGTTTTAGCTATCAGTAATTATAATTATTAACAGAAGTATCCAGTAAATGAATGGCTTTCATAAAAAAAGAATAAAATAAAATAAAAATACACTTCCTTCTCACTTTACAAAGTCTCTTCCCATAGCATTGTCTCTTCCCATGCACAGAATCTGGTCCTTACATGGGCATGGTAAAAGACACAAGCCCAGCCGTGTGCCTATAGACACTGATGTTTGCTCAAACACTAAAATGCCACACATTAGAAACCTAAGCAGTTGAAGGCTGCTCCTCCTGTATCAGAGTCGAAGGTTTGATGCTTGATTCCTCTGCAGCTAATTCACAGAGTGGAGTGAAGCAGCTGCCCTGGGAACACTGGTACTGGAGCTCCAAACCCTGCCTTGCTCATCAGTGCTCCTGTGGCCTGAAGCTTCCTTGAAAAGGGAGCTCCCAGGCCGTTCCACAGAGGAATTCAGTGTCCTCCTATGGTCTGTCCCATGCAGCATTAAGGAAACCTGCTGTTGGAAGCTATCTGACCTGGAGCTATTTCCATAGGCAGCAGCAGGCTCAGAGGAGACTGTCAGCCAGTTCAAACACCGAGATTTCTTGAGACATGTCTCCAGCTCTCCTCCTGTAAGCTACTGTACCCAGGAGACATTTAATGGGCTGAAAGGAATACCTTCTGCCTATTGTCACAGGACTCGAAAGCCTGGATCATCACCAAAACAGGAAACAGAAAACCTAAGCTGTGAATCCAACCGAACAAATTGGCCGGATTAATACAGTGTTGGGAAAGCCCTGCTTTTATTACAGCTGGACTGTGTGTGCTGCTCAGCACTGAGGGCAATCAGAGCAGGCAGCAGTAGGAAATGACTCTGTAGGGAGCAGCCAGCAAGCCAAACACGGCATAACCCAGAGATGACTGCACAAGGAAGCAGGGAGGAGGCAAGGGTAGGGCAGATGAGGGATTGTAAGGAAGAAGCCAGCAACGCATTTGTAAAAGTGCCTAAAGAACAACAGGGGAATTTGGGTTTCTTTCAGGACAAGAAGAACAGGAGTGAAGGGCACAGCTTTGCAGCTGAATTACTGCACCAATACACAGAGTAGTGCATCACCCCAAGTCACAGATCAGCAGTTAAAGGCATGGATACCTCTCTCACATCCCAGCTGTGAGGTAAACCAGACTTTTTTGTGCCTCCTCCCTTGAAGTTTAAGCTTCCATGTTCTTCTGTCTGGAAGCATATGCTCTATCACTGCTCTGCAGACATGGACTCTCTGGGATCAGCAACCCAAAGGCCCATGGGATTAAGGCTACACTCCTGAAAATCAGTTAATTAAACTCCAGGTCAAGCTTTGTCTTATGAGGCCAGGCAGCTGCAGAAAAACTGAGTAAGTCAACGTGAAACTAAAGATCATCTCATTGTGCACACAGACATGAAGGCAGCACAGGCTATTCTGTCCTGCCCTCCCTTGCTTCTTGTTCTTCAACCCAGCAAGATCAGTGCCATGTCTATGCTGATAGATCAACATACAAACCAGCTCTGCACTGAGGGCTAAAAGAAGCAGCTGAAGAAATAAATGAAATAATTAGGACAGTCTAGATGCTGCCCCCAGGCTACAGCTCTACCACCCCCAGTGAGATGAATGATGGACCACAAGGCCCAGGGACGACTGAATTCCTAGGGCTTGGGCATCACTGGACCACTGTTTCTGGAGGGGCTTGGCAGAATATAATGAGTGAATAAATTGGGATTTCTCTGGCTGATTGTGCTCCTTCCTGCAGTGCCTGCTAAGGTTCAGAATAGCCCTGGAGGTGTCCTTCCCCCGGACCCTACGCAGTGGTCCAGTGAGCCTCAGATCTCCTCCCTTCCCCCTCAGTTCATAGAAGAAAAACACTGAGATGTTTCCGTTGGCTTTTACATCATCTTTTTGTAGAGACTAATCTTCAGTTTCAACAATACATCTTTTGTGAAGCACTCCCAGCAGAAACCTTAGACACCTTCTCTAAGATCTGTTTGCTTACAGAAGACGAGGTAGGATTTGTTTAAACCCAGCTAGATTAATGTCTTGCAGACATTAGTGAAGCGAGATTTAATCAGGTTATTGCTCTACATTTTCCAGGGAAATAAATCACACTTATTACTAGGTTGGAATAGGATGCAAGGCTTGGGCTGAGAACATTTAGTCTTTTTTTGTTTTTCCGGAGGGGAGTGAAGGGATAACTTGAAAATTGCTGCAAGGCTGTCAAACTGGGAGCTCAGCAAAAGGTCCTCAACAGCTTGTAGGTGGGAAAAGGGAAAGCAACCAGTGTAAGTCTGGGGTGGGCTTTGGTGCCGATCCCCTGCCTTGCAGAGGCGCTGTAAGATCTGTATTAGTACAGAAAGGAGTCAGGAGCTTAAAGCAGACTCCCAGTGTCCATTTGAGATTCTCCAGCTGAACTCCTCTGTAGCTCTTGGGACCTCACTAATCTTCTGAGTGTCTGTTTCTGCCTGGCCCATGGGCACGTCTCTGCATCGGGGGTAGTTGTGTGACCAAGCAACCTTTGCAAATATACTTACAGACCCTAAGTGAAAACTGATAGTCAGCAGGTCTCAGAGTGTGGGCTTACCTTGTTGCAATGGTTTCCAAGTTTGCAATATATGTTTAACAATGTACAAGCAACTGTATTTTTTCATGCCAAACATTTTTCTAAAACAAGGCTGACTAGGAAACAAAAATAAAGCAGCTTTTTATCCAGGTTTTGATTTAAAAACTGCTCTTTTCCTCATTCAAGAAACAAAAAAGACTTTGCTGTCAGCTTTACCAGCAGTGGTGTTTTTATGCTAATACATCCCGTTGTATAAAACCATGCATGTGCAGGAGACAAAGTTTGGGAAATCACATTGTAAAGGTTCTCTCCCTTCTACCACCATGGGAACAGAGAGCTGAAGCCAATACAAATCTTTCCACTTAGTAAAGGTTTGCTTGTGTTTAAGTGCCCAAAACCCAAGAGCTTTACATACATTTCCCCTTATCCAATTGCCTGTGCAAACACCAGAGAAAGCAAATTACGGTAATGCAGCCTGCAATCAAGTTTCAAATCATGCAACAAAGCAGCAAAAAACACAATGGGATCAAGTTAAAATCTTATTATGGACCACAATAAAACATCCTGTTCAGTATGAAGGAGAAAAGGAAATACCAGGCAAGGCAGCACTGTTGCTTGTAAATACCCTTCTGCCAACGCTTTCCCTGGATAAATTAGTCCTCTGAACCCTAACTGCATCAGCATGAATCAGCCTGTCTGCTGCAAGGTAGAGGCTGCAAATCTGTTTAATGTGTTTAATGGGAAATCTTTTGTCTGCTTTTTCTTGGCTTCCTGCTTAGAAAGAATAGACTCTCTAGAGACAATTTTGGATCTGGACCACAGTCTTCCTCCCTTCAGATAACTAAGTATCTCTGGGCAGGAGTATATTTAAAGAAGCAGCTGGTAATTATTAGCCAAGTGCTTACTGGAAGGATTTCCCCCTGCTATTGAGCCAATGCTTTTGGGAACTAAATGACTCCTTGGTGATAACTATCAGGTAAAAACCTACAAGCCAGGGAGGTTCCCTCATTAGAACCATCAGCAAGAAACAATGTGAAGGTGGGTGGAGGATGGCTGAAAATTGTGATTGAGGGTTGCTTGACTCCCTTGTCCTCCACACACCCGATGTTGTAACTGCTGGGCATTCTCCAGGTAGTGCTTGAAAGCTACAAAATCAGTTCCCACACCTACACCAGTAATAAAAACAAATGATCTTTTCCTTCCAGCTAATCAAAATGTACTGGGCAGCACTGGAAATCCATCACAGCACTTACTCCTTTGGAGGGTTAAGGTCTTCCGGGCGAGCCTCAAAGAACCTGAAGACTTCATCGCACTGTGAAATATGAGGAGGAAGCCGAACCAGTGCCTGTAAAACAAAACACGGAGGGAGAAGCACTTAGGGAAGTCAAGTTCAAAACATGGCCTCAAACATCTAAGCTACCAAACAAGATGAGGCAAAACAGTCCTGGCAGGAGGAAAGGAATACTAACAGAAAGCATCACACCTGGCTACTTACCTGAGAAGAAAGGAAACATCATGTCTTCACTGCAAATGTCAAGTAGGATGCAATGAATTCAGAGAAGCAATGGTTCTTAGAGTCAGCCAATGTAATTTTTCCGCCATGTGAACAAGAGCAGAATTTGGTCCACATGTGCAAAACCATGACATTGAGTAGATAAGAGTTCTGTGGCTGGGACAGTCTCTGTGACATGGGCCTGGATAGCACCTCAATCAGCGGGCTTACAGGCTTTATGTCAATGCACACAAATTCAAGCAGTGAAAAACAAAGCTTCCATTAAGCACTGTCAACAGAAAAAGCAGACATTTGCTAAAAAAAAAAAAAAATCCCATAACCAAACCAAACAACACTTTGCTCCTAAATTAACAGGAAAGGAAGTTTGATTAAGCGTCTGGAAAAAAACCCCAACCAAACAAAACCAAACCACAGAGAGGCTATTTCTGCATGAAGAAGGTTTTACAGCACATCCTGGCTAACAATGTCCAGGCACTTGCCACGGCACAGGTACACTGTGCTTGTCATGTTCAGCAACAGTTATGTACAGCCAACTACACTATGTCGAAGTGTACTGGAAAGTGAGACTTTAAAACAAGACAAATGCATACAAGGCAGAAACATGCTATGAATTTGCTCTTCAGAATCTATAGCCTGGTGGTACCAAAAGAGGCCAAAGAGCTGTCCCCAGCCCACATGGGGGGACTCTGAGACTGCCTCCAGAAATGTCAAGTAGGAGCAGAAAAGAGGCTGGACTTCACCTCCTCCTGTGTTATGTTGAAAATAGGCCACAGGTTAAATATAGACCAAGCTTCTTAGAGTTGCTGTAAACCTGTTTGACAAAATTAGATTGTCTGGCTCTTCTGCTAGTTGAAAGTAGGACAAACAATCTTGAAAGATGGATGAAAAACTGCACCAGAGCTAAATGAAGATGCATTAGGGCAAACAGGTTATACTAACCATGACACATCTGACTGATCTTGGTCAGACACACCAGAAGGCCCAGCCAAAGCACAAAGACAGGACAGGGCAGTTGGTTACCCTCACAGCTGTTTTTAACCAGGCTTTAGAAAGTGGTTAGATTTGTTTCCAAGTCCACTTTTGCTTGGGGATATGAAGGAAAAGAGTTGAAAAAATACTGCTCTGAAACTGCAGGTCTCCAGTATTAGATGACGGTGTCTTTTTTTGAGGTGATCAGAAATTCAAAGTCAAGTGCTTCCACACCTACAGCTCTCCTTTCCCTGGTGGAGGGATGACATAAAAACACTAGGAAAATGCATCTGGTATCACTAGGCCTGTGAAGAATGAGGTCCTGGCCCTTGGTCTCATGGAACTGCACTATAGAGCAGAAGAAGATGCCTTGCAATGAGGAAGCAGCACCAGATACAGAAGCTGGGCAACAGCTTAGTGGGTCCAAGTGCTGGGGCATGCACTACTGACTGCTGCACTAACACAGGATGAAATGTAACAGCAGGAAAACTCAAGCACTTTTATGAGAACTAAGGATGCCCTGGTCCCCACTCCTGTCTGTTCAATCTTGCCTAAAAGTGCAGCAAAGGTGAGAGTTCTCTGCTCTTATTTCTACTGTACATAAACACATGAATCCAGCTGGCAAACCAGGAGTAACACTGGAACGTCAGGAACTGCCCAGGAGCAGTAATGATCCCAGCATGTTGAAAGAGAAATGCCTCAGCACACGGACTAACAAGGACATAGACAACATTAAAGCATGTTTTATTCATTTGCATCTCAAGCAGGAGACAGATGTACACAGTGAAGCAATACTGTCTAACCGACAGTGGATGGGGCTGAGATTTAGCAATGGCTCTATTACTAACGCCCTTCTTGGTTAGGACAGGTTACTTTAACCTCTTTCCATCAAATTCAGCTGGGATACATCTTCAGTTACCCCCTTACAATGCTGAGCAATAACACTTACCTAATCTGCAGAAAGGTTAGGAGGCTCAGATATTCAATATCTACAGTGTGTTTTAAAATCCCAAAGGACTCGATCTTGCACAGTCAATGGGGCAAGAGCAAGCACTGCAAATGATACGTATCATTACTAGAGAAACACAAATACCCGAGCTGTACCCATGGCGGGGGGTCTCGGACATCAGACACCTCTCAAAGAGTCACCACTTCCCTACAGGTCACAGGTGCTCACCCTTCCCAAGGACCAAGCTCCACATATCAGTACTGAGCTGGACCACAGAGTGGGTTTTCAGTGATGAAGGAACACAAATTCTACCAAGCTGCTGTGGAGATTTTTAATTTCTAAATGAAGGGAAGCTTTAGGAAATCTGAATCCCCTGAATCAGTGGTTGGCTGCCTGGAAATCTCCAGAAGCACTGTGGCCCTGCTGAGATGAAGGGGGATAACTGAAAAGCACCTCCAGGACTCCAGTCCTTTGCAGGGAATGGATAAAAATCAGCCAAAGTAATTTCCACATCCAGCCATCCACCTTCCCACCCCAGGGCAGGGCTGGCTCTCCTGCTTCTGAATCATCTCCCAAAGTGCTGCAATTTCCAACCCTGTGCAGAGAGATGGACTGAAATCCACCCCATAGTAACTTGCCATTGCGTGTTTTTTGGGAAGCTCAGGTGTATAGTCCAGCCCATCAATTTTTACTTGTTTTTCTTAAGGAACAAAACCCTAAGAAGTGGTATGAAAGGGTAAAAAAGTGCAAACAAGAGTATAAAACCAGTCAGAATTCATCTATTAATTTTGGATAGCAGCAGGGAGAAGCAAGGCTCTTTAGAGAAACAAATGTGTCTTCAGCAAATACACAACATCTGCCCAGGAACAAGCTAAGGCCAATGGGATTCCAGCAAGCAAACAAAAAGTGCATTCAGAGGATGAGGGACACCACTGTTACTCTGAAAGGGGAAAATGCAAGTTTCTGGCATTTCCAGCAAGACAGAGCTGCAACAGCCTGACGGAAACATTACAGCGCCAAGGAGAGAAGTCTAAAGACAAAGAGGAAAACAGATGGTGAAAGGACAGAAAGGACAGGAAGTGACATTCTTCTGGGGATGTGGAAACCAGAGGTAAATGCACACAGCTACAAACAGCAAGCATCCAGAAACAGCAAGGAACTTGCACAGGAAAGGTGAGAGATAAAAAGCGCCAGCGAGCAGAATTCAGCCTTGCACAGCCATCAAGTATTATCAGTAACAGCGTGTTTCCTTGCTCGGTGTGCAAAGGCGGACGTGCGCTGCTCAGCCCTCACGTGCTCCTCAGGAGACAGGCTTGGATGTGCTATTTCAGCCTGGAATGATGCCTGTCTCTCTATATTACAGGTTACAGACAGTCTCACAGAGCGGATGACTCGAGAAGCTGTATCATCAGGCAGGGCATGAGCAGGCAGCCCTCGGTGCTGGGGAGGGCTGGCTGCTCACACAGCACCAGCCCAGCTGCAGGAAGGCTGCTGGGTGCCACACACGGCATTCGGAGCCAACAGAGCACCAAGTGCAGGCAGGGGTTCATGGCTTAAGGTTACATGAACTGGAAAGGGCTCTGTGGGACTGTATAACAGCTCAAAGGCTTCATGGAACACAGGCACACGTGTGTAAAACCCTGCAGGTACTTGTAACGATGCATTGAGTGCTGTGGGTTGCATTTGTGCAGATACATTTACAAAAAACTGACTACAGACATGTATATGGACGGATAAACAGCACATGTGTAGGTGTGTGTGTACACAGGTAGAGAATGATATTCACCCCACTGAACTTCATGCATCTTAAATGGGAGACTGGTCACACTAGTCTATCAGCTTTTGTATAATCATTAGAGAAAGCACCTTCAGGGGGTGCTTTGTCTACCTCTCTATGGATGTCTGGCTCTTGACGGGATGAATCACTGATTGCCTCCACACAGTCTGTTGAGGCACTTCAGATGCACAGCTTTTAGATCCCTAATGTCCAGCTCTGCACACAAATACAGAGTCAGCTCACAGTAATGCATGGTTATGACTCTCTGACTTTTCATGTAAGTTCTCCATTGTTTATAATTTTCATTAACATTAATCACTAGTGCCAGATGTTTGGGAATGGTCATGAGTCCAGCAAGGGGGAAGGTGCAATTAAAATAGATAAGTTCTCAGGACAAAGAAATAAATTGTTTCATCTATGTGAAAACACCTTCTGTTTGGTTGAGAGCCTCAGGTAACTCTGAGCTTGAATTAAAGCACTGAACTATGGAGGGTGGATGGCAAACACTGATAGTCAGGCAGAGAGGTGGATGAGGAGTGCATGGTAGTGACTCAGACTGGAGAAGTGGGAATAAATAAAGAGCTGAGGGAAGGAGGAAAGTGGGTGCAGAGTTTTGGAAGTAAGTGGAACATGTAAGGGCTTCTGGCATGGAAGGACCAGAAGCCAGGCCCCACTCCAGGAGCTGAGAAGGGTGTTGCAAATACCTAACCCTCATAACTGCAGCCGGTCAAAGTGCATCAGGATTCTGAAACGTAGATTAAAAAAATACAGATAAAGTTTGAAGGTATTTCATTTAAACTCTCATTCTTGACTGGGACTATCACTCCATATTCAATGAACACTAACTTAGTTGTGCAATGGATAGAAAGAAAAATGTCTGTGTACCTGTCTCGACAGGTTCAAGAATTAAACCTTGACAGAAAGGCATGACCGAGAGACCAAGAGGGAGGTAATTATGTTTTTGAAGTATGGTCTCTCAAATAGTGAACATTAATAAAGGAATGACCAGTACTTCCTGGAATGGATGTGACTTGCTCATTTAATTTTTATTTAGGTGGTGTCTGTTCGAGTACTCAAGCCTCACTACAGAAAACCTCTAAGCTTCTACTTAAAGCCACATCCAGTTGGAAAAACATGAAGGCATGTGACAAATCCAGGTAAATGTTTGTGACAATGGGACTTTAAATCTTAAGATCTTCCCTGCACAAAGATGCTTCCCTCAATTAGGATCAACATGCACAAATACACAAGTCAGCAAATGCTGGCCAGAATCTTCCCAGGGAGTTGGGTAAGGAAAGATTGGTATTTTTGTGAACCACCGACCTGAGAGGTCTTTCTTGAACACAGGATGGTACATACTGGACAAACACTCACCAGAGGTTGTTTGGGAGATCAAAAGGTTCATAAATGAAATACCACTGGGAAAGGAGGCCTATGAATTTGCCCTTTCTTTCACATTGGCAAAAATTCCTAAACAGGTTAAGAAAATCAAGCCCAACGAGCCCAGAAGACCTTAAATCACACTAAACTAATTCCAAGCCTACAGTTAAAAGGGAAGTCATCCAGAGATACCAATTCCAGTGGGCAGCACACTGGGAAAACACAGTTTGTTTGGTAACTCACTCAGGTTACCAGTAAAGATATCCAGATCCTGCACTTTCATGTTTACAGACGAACAGCTTCTGGAAATCTTCCCCTGTGTATCCCACTCCTCCTGTTTTCATTGCAACTTCAAAGTTTCTTGCAGCCTTAGGAAAATCTCTGGCCTAGTCACCTCTCTGATGGAATTTCTCTAAGCTGGTACAATGCAATGAGGAGTCACCCAGGCATGAGTGGTACAGAGGGCCAGAGGGATCATGCCCTTGGTATGGAACATTCTGCGGACCTCCCCTTGCTGTCAAGTATCCCCACAAATTCTCAGACAGCCTCTGCTGTCCCTGCTCCTGTGCCCAGCAGCACAGGAACAACAAACACATCCACACAGCAGGAGTCAAACCTGCTTCTCAGCCATGCAAATCACCAGGCTCTGACAGAGACAGTCTGCAAAAACAACAAATGGTCAAACATTTGCACCCTTCATTTACCAGAGTCCATCTGTACTTTGTCTTTCCAGGACAGGTGAAACGGATGGAGGACCCTCATCTTGCAAAAAAATTACCATGAACTTTGGATGTGGAACCTGCCTCTGTCCTTTGCTTCCTCACAGATTCCAGTGGACAGAGGTCTATTGTTTCATGTATTCGTTTTATTATCCCATTGCAGATTTATTCAATCAACTTCACCCACATCATTCCAGCATAATTCTCTAAATTTTTCAAAATTGTCAGCCTACACATTTTAGGACTAGCATGGGACATTAAGCTTTGAACCCTTACAGAAGCAGAACTGAACATATCAAAATAATGCTCTTGCTCTACAGTTCTATACAATTCTCTAATGAGTCAAAATGCCTACTGGACAGGGGATGAAATGCAGAAAATGGGTAACACTTCCCAAGAGGTGGGCATGATCCCACTCTTGAGTCATGCACATGCGCCAGTACAGGGTAAGAAATAGTAGTGAGCAATATTATTTTATAAAAAATATTTTGTCTTCTTACAACAAGAGAGGATTCATTAAATTTCACTTCAGCTTTCCATAAACTAGCACTGGAGCTAAGCAAGTCACTCAAGTTGTCTCTGTAGTATAGCTGAAGGGAGAGAAACCCTGTAGCTGGTAAAGTGAGGCCACTTTGGTTCAGACTCATCACCTAATTTTCTATTCACAATTCCCAGTTTTTGGTCATTCCTGGATAACTTCATATCAGAATGGAAAGGTTACAAAGGCCATGTTCCCAGAAACCTTGTAAGTGATGTCCTTCAGTGAAGGTATTTCTGAATTTTGAGTCTTTGCTAAGCCCCAGAGATGAAACTCTGTCCTCACAGAAGGTCAGTAGCAGAACTACCACCGACCTCACTGTGCCACGAATCTCTCCTGCAAGCTGTTTTCCTAAGTTCTTTGTACCTTTGATGTATAGTGCCTGATTTTCATATTATTTTCAGTCTTGTGGACTTCCATATCCTATGGCAGGTTTGGAACAGCAATAACATATGGCAATATTCTCTGAAGAAACATTAATTGGATGAACCATAAACGTTCAAAAGAAAAACTCTTCTCATAAACTGTGAGACTTCTAAAGGTTGGGAGAGGTATGAGTTGCAATTCTCAGGTCCCTCTATTTACACAGGTTGCCAACTATGTGGTGTGGTTTAAAAACTACTGGGTATGTCCTGTGCCAGACAATGGTGTGACCAGCTATCATCTTCATTTACTCTCTGTAATTAGCAGGAAGATGTAGCAAAAGGCAAAGAAATCAGCTCATAAGTGGATCTGATGACAGGCAGGACATCACAGTTACTTCTATACTGTTTTTGAAGAGTGGGCACAGACCTATCTATCATCCATACTGGACATAAAGTAATGTCCAGGCATGAATTTAGAGTCAAATGCAAAGAATGGGTAAAAAAAGCTTGGCAGTCCTTTACTTTCCAGCACTGGTTGAAGGGCTAACCCACTTGCAGCCCAACTCAGTCACAACCATGGTCATACACTCTCCAACAAGACACATCCCTGGGGAATGGAAGAGTTAGCCAGGGCCTTCTTTCTTTAAAGGCCTGACACCCCATGCAGAAAGACACTATGGAGGATGTAGCCCTCTTGAAGCACTCACACAGACATGAGATGCAACTCCTGATCAAGCTTTTGAGTGACTATAAGCCTTGCTCTCCAATCCCATCCAGATTTAAGCACCTTCTACTTTGAAGTACTGAGGCAAATTAAATACAAATTACAGTTATACACAAATGAAATAAAAAGACACTACATCAGGCACAACAAACACATGAGAAGAATATTCTGGAGAAGTCATTATAGGTTTGTCATACTCAGTGCTGAGCACCACTGTCACTGCTGCTGGAAAAGGGAAATGCTGGGCTGGGAGAAACTGGGTTACTCCGACCTGGTTGGGTTTATGTTCACAAAATCAGCACCTATTAATACACAGATTAAGTAAACAGCTTGGCTTCAGGGAAGCATCCAGCCATGTCTGGGCAGCAGCAGCAGATCTGAACCAAAGTGAAACTATCCTATAATTCTATGCTTCTGTGACCTGAGCCAGACTTCTCCAGAAGAGAAGAAAGGAAATGAGAGCAGAAATCCCAGCACCTCAGTGTCAGCAAATGTGCCAGCAGCCGATGCCACTACACATCCCTCGGCCATGACCAGTGGAGCACCAGCAGGCTCGGCCGGGTCAGGGCAGGTCTGTCTGGAGCACAGACAAGGGGGTGACAGAGAACTGGCTGCCCCCACAGCACAAGTCACTGCTTTCTCCACCACGCATCTGTTGGGTGAACCCTGACATCAGCCAGCCCTCACCGCTCCTGTCGCCAGCAGTTCCTGTCTGAAGGAGGCGGCTGGGGACTCAGGGAAACCCTGCATATTTTAAAGAGAGCCATTCAGCTCCCAGCAGGAAGACAGTGCGTTAATTGTCACACAAAAAAGCCTGATCTTATGAGATAAGACTTTAATGAAGCTTCCTTGCCCCGGGGGTGCAGATGGCATGGGTTTCACCACCAGCCCCCAGCATGCCTCAGGCACTTTGGCAATCTGCTTCCAATTTTGCAGGAGCAAATGTCTGACTGGAGAAGTTCTTGGGAGTGCATTTTTTTCCCCTCCACCTGCTCCTCTGGCTTTCCAAAAATGGAAAGAAAACCTCATGGGAAATAAGAGAGGAAGTCTCCGGTTTAAATTATGCACTGACGTGCTTAACACTTCTACAAAACCTGGGAATCCTCCTTGCTTAGAAACAACTTTTAATCTACTGATGGAGGATTAATTATCATCATATCATAAACTCTAGGCTAGAAAGGAAAGATTAGGTGACTTAATATTCTTCTCAACAGAGCTGTGCTTTTCTGTCCTGCAATAAATTTCCAGGCTTTCACTCATCAGAAGCAGCACTCCTGGAAGACACTGGTCCACCCTCAGTGCTGCACCAGCCAGCACTGTCCTCATGTGGCACTCGGGGACAGACAGACAGGAAACAGAAAAAACCATCATCTTAGTTGTGCTTCTCTGCCTGCTCAACTCCTGAATCATCCTGGCTGATGTAGAAATAAAATCCACATTTAGGGCAGATGAGGCTTAGAGCCTTTACTGAGAAAATGAGGCATCAACCTAGTGCATAAAGTTTGCATGGAAAAATGCTACAAGGACCTTGGGAGCAAACGGCGTCCTGGTTCCACCTGCCCTGTTAGTCTTGGTGGTGTTTGGGAAGAACCATCTTCCCTGTGCTAGACTCGACACACTGCCTGTCAGCAATATCCATCAGGGAAAGCCCAGCACTGAGCCCCCACAGATCAGGGCTGCCCGGCACTCCTCAGAGCTCTTACCCTGCAGTACTCGTCGATGGGTTTTAGCCTCTTCACAGCTACGTCTCGGACGTGGCTCCTCCGGAACAGGATCTTGCCTAAGGAGGGAACAGATGAAAGTGGAAGGTTAGGGGCATCCGCTGCCATGTGGGATAGCACAACAGCACCAAGCAGAAGGGTCAGCAGACAGGGTTCCATCCCTGGCTCCAACCGTGGCTGTTGGCAGTGCCAGCGGCCGAGCTCTGCAACCCCATTATGTTCCCAGCTGAGAAGTCCCATTGCTTGAGAGGTTCACACAGCTGCAGCTCTGTGTGAGTGCAGCCCCCCATCACTACAAGTCACACAGGATGGCACACTTGAAGGAGGTGTGAGCAGCAGATCCACTCCTGCCCTCAGAGCAAACCGCACAGAAAGGCACTGCAGGGCAGGCCGCAGAGAGATGTGGGACAACAGCAATTACAGCAGCGTCCATGGCACTCCTTGAAGCTGGATGCTGCTGGCCTTAAGTTTGCACAGGAAATGCAGCACATGGCCAAGAACTACCAAAGACACAGCAGCTCTGTGAACCCTTGGTGACTGCCACCAAAGCCCTGCTTGTATGAGCCACCGGAAGGAAGTCTCTACATAGAGAGTAATGGGACAGGGGGAGTTTTTCTGATTTCATCCTGTAGATAACACAAAAGGACTTGGTTCCCTTTTAGTGATGGCACTATCCTGGAATGGACCGACACTATGTTTGTTATGACTCGCTACTACTTCAGGGTTACTTTGGCAGGTTCGTGCTGGCTGTGCAGGAAGCATTGCTGGGGTGGGTAGGCTCCACCTACTTCCCAATCAGCTGCCTCCCACTGTGGATGCTCCTGCCCTTTCAGGCAGGCAAACAGCACACCCAGCTCACAAGCAAATACAAGGCTGTTAGTGACAGAGCCCTTATAAATCTGCAGAGAGAAACCAAATAATAGAAGAAAAATAAACAAACTCTTTTTTTGAAACTAAAAAAAAATAATCTCCATGTCCTTACTGGATGACATTTCTGCAAGCAGTTAAGATTAAATAAACGACTGGGGTTTGTGTGAAACTGATTGTAACAAAGTTTATCAAAATAATCTAGGAGCTGAGTTTCCCCACACACAAGGATGTCATAGAGTTGGTATTTTTTTGGCTAGAAAGGATTATATCTTCATATCCTTTTTTGGTGATTTTCTTCCCTTTTCCTTTTGTGCTGTATTTCTTTTAATGTAACGAGACAAGAATAAATTATATGTTCTCCTTGTGGTGGAAGAAAATAGTATCTGCCAGCATTATTTAGTCCATGAAATGTCCATGTAAAAAAACCCTCGACATATATACCACTCCCTGCTCCAAACTTCTTCTGCCAACAGGCAAATAAGATACTTATCCATAGATCATGAGATAAGAAATTGGACTAGGAAATCAAATCAGATCCAAAATCTGAATACGTGGCTTTGACTTTGTCATGATTACACAAGCTGAGAGGTTAATGAAATTACAGCCCTTAAGAGTCCAGTAGCAGAGGCTCTAAACCCTCCGAGACACTGCCCCTTTTGGTTGCCTTTTCCTACATAGCTGCTAATCTAGAAAGTGTTAAAGCCTTTTGTTTCAGACAGGAGAAAGTGGTTTATCTTCATCCCCAATTCTGGCAACAAAACAGTTTGTCCTGTGAGGTAAAGCCATTTCCTGGTGCCATAAATTTATCTCTCTGGGTTCCCTGTGGTTATCTCATTACTAAGCTAGTGTTGAGCCATCCCTGTAGGCTGTGATGCCATGAGGTCAGAGAGCACAGGGGAAACCTTCAATTGGTGTCTGAGATGCTCATCTGGGCTTGAGCAATTTAGTGAAAAGTTGCTTGAGGAGTAAAGTGGCACTCCCATCTCCCTGCACTGATCCACTCTGGACACACCAAAACATTCCTGCTTTCCTGCTTCTCTGTCTGGAGAGGAATTACCTGCCCTTCTAAAACATTTCTGATAGCCTTGAGGGCCATTGTGTACTTGTACTGTGAAACTAGAGTAAGCTGCTTTTTTGGAGGGAAGGGATGTAGGCGTAGCTGTAGAGAAAAGATTAGTTCCTTTCTCAGTGCTCCAGAAATGTTGGTGTGGGAGATCTTGGTATTTTTTTGCAACTTTTATAAATAGACTGCAAAGAGAAAGTGACATTTTGGAAACATTCTCACTTACTGGCTTTCCTGTTTTCAGTTCAAGCCATGAGTCTAAAGCTGAACCAGTGACCATACAAAAACATTAAGGAACCAAAGATTTAAACACATTAAAGATCTCCTGTAAATGCAACTCAGCTTTCCTAAAAGTAATAATACAGAATGTTATATTAAACAGAGTACAAAAAAGACCCCAGGATATGATGAATCCTAATTCAGTCCTTAAATGGAGATGGAAAGTATCAGGACAACTGTGGTGTTACAACAAAACAAAGCCCAGAAGGTGCTTCCATTTTTATCCCTTCAATAAAAGAAAGATCTTCCCTCTACTACCAGAAGCTGGAAAAGGCTCCGTGAGGCCTGTGGAGAAGATCCGTAGCTGCTTAGAACAGTATGGCATTCAAAGCTGAGATCTGGAGGAGGCTGAGTATTTTAGACCACCATGGAGTAGCAGTCAACAAATTAAAATGCAAGAAGAGAAACAAAGACACTCTGCAAGCACATCCAGTTCTTTTGGGCATCAAGGAGGGACCCCCTCTCAAAGAAGTTTCACTGACACGTACTGAAGCATGCCTAAGGAGGAACAACTTTCCAAATGTCTGTCTGGTAAGACAGACTGTGCTGAGAGAAGCTCAGGCAAAACCATCAGGACCAAGCAGCAGAAACCACTGCAGATCCAGAAAAAGTTCCTACTGCTTTCTCCAGTTCCCCTATTAGTCCTGGTCTTCCCCCAAAGCAAGGGAGGTCCCATCGGGACTGGAAAAGGAAGGTAATCCATGTTGTACACTCTTTACGTTCTCCAAGTGAGTGCAGACCCTATCCGTGGAAAACTTTGCCTAACAAGGTAGGTGGGGTCACCCCAAAGAAACAATGAGAAGGCAGACAGCAGAGCAGCAGGGGCACGTCAGAGCCAGCGAGGAGCCCTCAGCATGGCAGTGGAAGGGAGCGTTTCACCCACAACAAACATGAGGCGGGGAAGTCCCGGGGTGGCCGATGAATGCAGAACAGCCCAGGCAATTTCCTTGTGAGGGTGGAGTAGTGGTTTATGTGCCACTTGGCTTTTCCTCTGGGAAAAGCCACATCTCTAAGGAAGGGATCTATTCTACGCAAGTACATGCAGTGCTGCTTCCGCTTTCCTGAATTTTCCTGCAGCTCTTTTAAGCCTCCTCAGGCACTACAACCCTACTTTACAGAAGGATGAGCGGCTTTTTAACCATGCTGCAGCCCAGCTAGGAAGTGAACAGGAATTGTGCCTTGGATTCAGATGGGAATTTAGATGTTACATGAGACGGCGCTGCCTCATGCAAATATTTCATTCACCGGTGTGCCAGGCTTTGACAGGGCCAAGGGAGGTCTGGCACATGTTAGGAAGGCCTCCAAGGACAGCAGCACTTGGAAAGAAAGACGTGGGAAAAACATAGGGCTCCAGCCCTGCTGTTAATGCAGGATAACAATATTTATTTTTATCCTTTTTTCTTTAAAGAAAATATTATTCCTAGGAAATTAATGCGGATAAGAGGCAGAGTATCATGTTTAGCAGAGTAGAGGACATCTTAAGTCATCCCTTCATCTCCCTGTATGTATATATACATAGAGAGAGAGAGATGTAGTCTTTAATTCCACGACCACACACCTCTTCTCTCACAAGACCCAAGTTTCCTCCTGTATACACAGCGGGTGCACAAAGTGGGAATAATAAAGCTATGCAGGAGACTGTCTATCTGGCCACTGCTGATTCTTCAAGCTTAAAGGCATCCTCTGTTCCTGCACGACCTCATACTTAGAGTAACACAGATTTTTAACAAATGAGGTCCAAGAGCGAACCAGCTAAAATGCACCCCAACTCCCAATCACCCCTTTCACTGCCAAGGAGAGGTACAGCATATCTAGGCCTCAAGACCTTCTAGAGATGTCTTCACTAGCCAGTGCCAGTGGCTCAGCCCTGAGCTGCCAGCTTGGCTGCTCTTTTAGAGCCAGGCAGTGAGCGGCAGCCGCGGCAGGGGCAACAAAGAGACAGGGAAATTGCTGTTAGCTCCTTTACAAATATATCAAGACAACAGATCCACCTCTTGGTCTTGCTCTCTGATTGCTGAGATTGAGTCTCATTTCAAGGTACATCTGGGTGATGGATTGGTCTAAGGACACCAGTTGTTTCATGCAAAGAGCGTCTGTCAGAGATTAGGAAGATAACAAACCCACGCTCAAAGGGATGATGGACAAATGCATATTCACATTTAATCTTCTATTTGAACACTTCAGAATGCAGCACGTGAAGCAAGCCACATGATAAATATTCAGCAGCAGACAGCCTGAAGACTAATGGGAAGCATTAATAATACTCTTATATCTCATCTGATTTATGTTTAAAAAGACATGTGCTGCCTCTGACTACAGAAACTCCAGCTGTGGAGGTTTTGTCAGTTCTGTCTCTTAAGAATCAGAAAGAATTCCTGCTTCTGCCTCTTTATGTTCTTGTTATTGTGCTGTTGATTCTCTACTTTTTTTTTTACCTGAAAACCTGGGAGGTGCCAGATCTGTATATATTGCCAAGCAATATGTTCAACCTTAGATGAACTTCTCAGAGAAGTCTGCTTATGAGATGAGGTCAGACGCTTTCTGCCCTTACACTGGGGCTGCATTGGTAAAAAAGAATACAGAATTCAGCCCTTGTGCAGTTACAGGTTCTCTGTTTGGGGCAAGCAGCTTCCTCCAGTGTAACTAAAACCATTTTACTGCTCAAGTATTTTTATGATGGCTTCTACTCCTTATTAATATTTCTATACACCAAAGAGGCACAGGTCTGCAATCAAATATGACACAAACCCCCGACAACCTATTTAAGCTGTGACATCCTCCTCAGGGTCCTGCCTGAAACTCTCACACACCTGCCACACAATCTATCTCCCAAATGGAGCATTTAAA